GCAGAAGCCCCTCAGGCCCTTCCAGCCGTGGCTGCAGCCCCCAAGAGGGCACATGTGGCTTCCTGGGCAGGGCACAGCCTAACTTTAGTCCGGACCTCTCTGTCTGAGCTCTTTGGACTACTCGGCATTGCTCAGGCGTCACTCCTGACACTTTCTCGGGTTGGGTGGGGCCTGGCTTGGGAGCCTGAAGCTTTGCACAGGGTGACCCAGCCACAGGGCTGCTCTTTCTCCTTAGCACCCCTGGACACTCCCAGCACTTTCTAGACTCCATGGCCCTGCTGGACGTTAGCTCCTAGGGCCTCCCAGAGCACCTTGAGGTCAGCAGGTGGACTGGTTACAGGTCTATTTCCTGGAAGCCAAAGGCCTGGGTTTAAGGCTTAACTCTGCCCCTTAGAGACTGTGTGACCATGGATGGGTTTCTTACCCTCACCGCACCTCTTTCCCTTCTTATAAAATGGTGGGACATGACAGTAGCAGATCTTCAAGAAGTTGCTATAAGCACCATCAGAAAATCTGTGTCATTGTAATGGCAATGCCTGGCACCTGGGTCAGGGCTGCGCATGTGGGGGCTGTTATCATCATGGTGTTATTATCCCCTTTTTGCAAGTGAGGAAACTGGCTCAGAGAAATGATTTCCCCAAGGTCACATGGATTGCAAGTAGCAGATCAGGAAAACAAAAGCCACATTTTCAGGCTAAAGAAGGGACATTTATAAAATATCTGCAGTCTGTACCATAGTGGAGGCAAAGGCCAGAGAGCTGAGCCCATGCTGGGACTAGAGGAGTGACACTTGGTCTTGGACTCGAGCCGTGTTCTTGATCTTGCCAGTGCAAAAGAAACACTAGGAAGCTTGTAGAACCTATAGATGGCTGTGCCCTGGCCTTAAATGAGAGTCTGGGGGTGGTGAGGGGCACAGATCCTTTTATAAACTCCCTGCATGATTCTAATGTGGGACCCAGTTGAGAACCACTAAACTGGAGGGTCTCAGAGGCAAAGGACAAACAGGACACCAGAGAGGGCTATGGAAACCTAGAGCCACAAGGTGCCTAAACTGAAGGGAGCTGGGACATCACTGAGACTCTGATTGCACAGAGGGGAAACTGAGGCCTGAGAGGGGACTTGATGGGTCCAAGGACCCATGGAGAGTTAGCAGCCTGGTGTCTCCTCCCCTGTCTCAGGCCTCCAACCCTCAGAGGTCTCCTCCCTCCTCCCTGGGCTAAGTGTGGAAGGAGCCACAGGCCCTGCCGCTTGATTTCTGGCAGGCTGAATGTGTGAGTTTTTCAAATGGCTTTGACTTTCGAGTCCATTAGTGATTAATTCAGAGCTCCATTTAGAGCCGGCTGATCCATATTTGGAGGAGGAGAACATTTTGTGGCAGCCAAGATGCAGCCAGGATTCATCCGCGGGCAGCCTGCCCACTTGGCGGCTTGGGAAGGCGGAGTCCGGAGTCTGGGCAGGGCCCTGCTCCAGCACCCCCAGAGGGCTCCCCGGGGGCTGGGGGCTCTCACCTGGGCAAGGGTGGACCTGTTAGGGGTGGGCAGCACAGCCTGAAGAACTGACCTAGGGTTCAGCCCTCCACTTTGTCTCTTCTCAGCTGAATGACTGTGGGCAAACCCTTAAATTCTATGAGCCTCAGTTTACCCATCTGTAGAAACGATTGCCCCTACACCTGTCCTGCAGGGGGTGTTGGGAAGATTCAAGGGTTTGATGTGTGTGAGTGTGCCCAGTGCATAGAGTTCGGTCAGGAGAAGGGGGTGGTGAGGGTAGGGGGTCCCTTCTCTTTTCCTCGGCAGTCCCCAGCGCCTATCTTCCCTGGGCCCCTGGGGAAAGAGCTCTGGTCTGTACCTCTGGCATTCCTCACACTGTGTGGCCTCAGGCAAGTTGTTTTACCTCCTTGATCTTCAGTTTCCTCATCTGTAAAAGAGATCACGGTCCCTTCCTTGCATGATTGTCATGAAAAATGCCAAATGTCAGTGAGAGTTGGCAGCATACAGCAGGCACACAAGGCACCCCATGGCGGGGGACATCGAGAGCAGTGGCCCTGGGCACAGGACATAAGGGTGCATTGCCTTAGGGAATCTTTTTTTTTTTTGAGACAGAGTCTCATTCTGTTATCCCTAGCTAGAGTGCCCTGGCGTCAGCCTAGCTCACAGCAACCTCAAACTCCTGGGCTCAAGGGATCCTCCTGCCTCAGCCTCCCAAGTAGATGGGACTATAGTCATGCACCACCATGCCCGGCTAATTTTTTCTCTATATTTTTTAGTTGTCCAATTAATTTCTTTTTATTTTTAGTAGAGAGAGGGTCACGCTCTTGCTCAAGCTGGTTTCGAACTCCTGATGTTGAGCTATCCTCCCGCCTCGGCCTCCCAGAGTGCTAGCATTATAGGTGTAAGCCACTGCACCTGTCCAGGGAATTTTTAAAAATTAATAAAACTTAGTTTTTGTTGAAAACTGGTCTTATCAAAAATTGATCTGTTTTTTATTATCACCTTGCATCAGAAATTCTAACAGGAACAGTGAAAAAATGCCCTTTTGCCTGGGGCCGGCCACTCCCACTGCCCCTGCGCCTTGTGGGCAACTGGCACTTCAGCAGTGACCTCTCCTTCCTCCCTGCTGGTCTGCAGACCCCACCCCAGTACCTCCCGGAGAGTGTCTCCCCCACCCATCCCGCACCCTGCTTCCTGCTCCCTCCACACGTGAGCCGTCTCTAGTGACAACTTGGGGGTCGGGGTGCTCTGCCCGCAGATCCACGCACCCTGCCAGCTGCCGTCTGCCAAGCCCTCTGAGGAGTTGGCATGACGCTCTTGGAAGGGGATCTTCTTCCCATCGGACAGAGTCAGGATTTGAACCGGGGTCTGTCTGCTCGGGGAGGCCCGACAGCTTGCCTGGGTCACACAGCCAGAGGTAGAGAAACAGGATCCCCAGGGGTCAGCCAGACTAACCTGTCAGCGTCCCAGCAGGAGATGGGCGGCACAGGAGGTGGGGGCATTGAAGGTGCTTTACAGTGAAGGAACTGTCAGAGGGAAACATCTAGAAACATCTAGGAGCCAGCCATTACCACCGCTAGGCCTGAGACACCCGTTGAGAGCTGAGCTGTGGCCACTCGGGCACGGCGGGGGAACACAGACACTGCAGAGTGGTGCGCAGCTGGGAGGGAGGGGAGGACAGATCCCGCCTCCTCTCTCATGCCTCCACCCTCCTGCTGGGACCTTCCTTGAGCCAAAGCCACGTGCAAGGTGGAGATCAGCCTCCCAGGGCGCAGAGCAGGGGCTGGGCAGACAGGACCCCAGCTTGCTTCTGCTATTCTGCGGCTGGGAGGTAATCAGTGAGCCATGAAAGGGGGAGTGGCTGCATGAGGCACTGCCCCCCCCATCAAGGCCCTGGGAGAGCCATCTTCTCTACCTCTGAATCTCCACCCGCAAAATCGCCCCTCAGGCTCACCACTTAGTCACGTGTCCCTAAATTCCACCAATCAGAGGTTCATTTGAGTGAACAAACCACACGCCGTGGAATGTCCATGGGGGGCTGTCGGTCACGCTTGTGAATGCAAATTAGTTCCATCAGCGTGCTGGCTGCCCAGCGCCCGGCCAAGGTTGATGAGAGAGAAGAGGGGGCTAGGAAAGGGGCGAGGAGGGAGGGGGAAGGTCATTGCAGAGCTTGAAGAAGACCACAGAGGGAGGTGAGAGCAACCTGAGCCAGGTTAGTGGGCTCCTGGCATCACGGTCTAGGTCTGGGACCTGCCCAGCCAGAGAGCAAGGGACCCTGGAGTATGGGGAGGGACACAGACGGAGGTGGGAGACCCCGGGCTCTCCTCCAAGGCTCTACAATATAAGCACTCTCGTGCCAGACACCATGCTGACATCATGCACCTCCCCTCATTTATTACCCCATTGCACAGACGGGGAGACCGAGGCTTGGGTGGATTCAGAACTTTGTTCAAAGTCTCAGATCTATTAAGTGGCAGAGTCAGGGTTTGCCCTCTAGAGACAGTGCTTTTAACCAGCCTGTGGTTACCCCACCACCCACCACCCACCACTTGCACACCCGCCCCCCAGCACCCAGTCTCCTTCAGGCGGAACTCCCACCCTGCAAGACAGGTATTGTTCTCCTCCTTTATCCAGAGGAGGAAACTAAGGCTCAGAAGTGCCACACGAGTGGCCCAAGGTCACACACCCCTGCCATGGCCACTTGGGATCTGGCTTCCAGAGCTCATCCACTCTCTCCTCTCCGCTGGCTGCCTTGGTTGCTGGTCCTGCAGATCCAAGAGCCCTCTGCTGGGCAGGCACCTGTCTCCAGAATAGAGTGAGGGGACAGCTTGTCCTCTTTTCACCTGGGGCAGAGCTCCCTCCTGCCCTCTTCCTCTCCAGGGTCACACAACCATTTCTCCCTCTGCCTGTCACTTGCAAGCAAAATCTCCCAGACTGGAGTGCGGGCCTATAGACAGATACATTGATGACAGGGACGGTTAGGAAGACTGCTCCGTCCACAATCTGCAGGAACCAGCTTGCCGCCACGGGGCCTAGTGGGGCTGTGTGGTTTGCTGGCTGCAGGCAGCTGGGTTCTAATCCGGGCTCGCCCAGGCCCGCCAGTGACCTCTTTTCTCTGGGCTGAGGGCGGAGCTGGGCAGATGGCCAGAGGTGGGGACCCCGGCTTCCCCGAGGCCCTGCTGGTTTCTCCATCTGTAGCTGAGGGATTGGACCGAGCGATGACAGAGCCCCGTCCAGCTCTGACATTCCATAACTAACATTGTAGAGTGTGTTCCAGGCGACCGAGTACATTCACCTGCCTTTCCTCATCCCCCACCGTGTGCCGGGCACACTGGAGGGCCCAGGGATGTTTCTAGAAGAGTAGAAAGATTTATCACTGCCTTTTTTATGTCAGTCAATCCTGAGCCCCTTCCCCCCAGAGACCCTCCCCACAGAGACCCCCGCCCCCGCAGGAGAGGGGCTTTCCGCCTCCTTTCCCAGCCCGTGTGGCCATCGTGTCCTCTCTCTCCTCAGCATCCACGACACCTTCCTGAAGCTCTGCCCTCCCGGGAAGTACTACAAGGAGGCGACGCTGACCATGAACCAAGTCAGCTCCCTGCCAGCCCTGCGGGTGAGTCCAGGTGGGTGGGTGGGGGTGAAGGCCGCATGCTGGCCGCTGAGGGGCTGGCTCCCCAGCGCTTCCGGCTCTGGCCTCCCTCCCTCTTTGCACCGGGCAGGAGGTACCGGCTGGAGGGAGGCTCTCGCCCACCCTGCTGCGCTCACTGGTCTGAGATTCTTTTGTGCTTCTGCTTGTGGCGGTCGCCCGAGGCTGTCGGACTCTCACCCGGTGGCCTTCGCATCAGCCACTTCCTCCTGCTTTGTCCCCTCCGCTTGTTTCCAAAACCTCCACACTTGTCCTCGAGTGAGGCCACATCAGAAGAACGAAAACAAGTGGTTTGAGGAGAAGGAAAGAGAAGTTTTATTACTTTGCTGGCAAAGGAAGAGGATGGAGACTCCTGTCTGAAATGCCATTGTCCTGACATTAAGCAGAGATACAGAGCTTTCAGAGGGAGGCCACTCAGCTTCAGGCCGTTGCTGTTCAACTACCTTTGATGATTCTCATGTCCCATCTCCACTGAGGACAATCAATCTCCTGACCTCCACCCAGGACCTCCCTTTACCAGGTCCAGGCTGGGCCAGCTTTGTAGCAGAAATAACAAAAGACTGACCCTGCCCCTCCCAACCACTGGCCTGAGGCAGGATGCAGGTTTTTGTTCTCAAAAAGGAGTGCAGGGTGCTTTAAAGAGACAGAAAATAGTTTTTCTGGTTTTTTTTTCAGGCCGTTCCCTCTGTGACATATGCCCCACTGTCAATATTTCCCTTCCACATCTGTGGGAGGAGGGTGACTACCCTGTTCCATGCTCTCTGTTGTGCCCCAAACCGGGCCAGCGGGAAGGCTGGGATCCCCTGCACGACACTGAGCCTTGGGGAAGCCAGGGCATCACCTCAGCCACCTGCCGGCCCCTCAGCCCTTCTCTCCTGCTCAGGTGTCCTCAGTGGACTGCCGCTTTTCTGGAGGGACCGAGACTTGACGCCCAGGCCTGTCGTTCCCACCTGCCCACTCCCATCTCCAGGTGTGACTGCAGGAAAGAAGGGCATTTTATTTTTGCTCTTGCCATCCTCTTTCTCCATCTCCCCCTCAATTTAGCCAGCCCTCCCTGACCTGGAGTTTCCCGCTAAACAGAGGGCTGAGTCACACACACACACACACACACACACACACACACACACACACACACAGCTTCCCCTTGCTATGGGTGAGTCCTAGCACTTCCCTGGGTCTCGGCTTCCTCATCTGTAAAATGGGTATGGTCGAGGGGTGGGGGAGGCTGGGAGTTTCCACACACTCTCGTGAATGGTGGCACTGTAACAGGCGGTGCTTACAAGAGCTGTCAGAGCTCCCCCACCTCCCAAATCATTTGAGCCTTTGTCCCTGCTATGCAGAGGCCCTGCCCTTCCCCCAGAGCAGCCTGGAAGAGCCCAAAGGCACACAATAAAAAGACTGCAAAATCACTCCTGAGATTTTAATTAAAATTTGTGCATCACATATAATAGAAAGGCAATGTTGGGTTAACAAATCATGGCCTTGTCAGGCTACCCTATTTTTCATTTGGATCTCTGCAGAATCACGATTTGAGTTTATTGTTGTGCAACAGGAGCCCATATTCATTTCTGTCTAGAACAAGGTGGGCTCTGAGAGCCGTGGGCACTGCCTGGAACGGGCCTGGGGCCCTGGCTCCTGAGGAAGTGACACGGACGGGGCACACACGTAGGCATTCAACCGCCAGCCACATGGGCCTTCCTAAGTGCCAGGCCTTGAGAGAGCACGCAGCTGGGGCTTGACAGAGGGGAGGAATGAGAAGACAAGAGGATGAGAAGGGCATGGGCAGTGGGGTGGGGGGAGCTGGGAGAATCTGGGGTCTTGGAGGGGAAAGAGGTAGGATCTTCAGGAAGGCAAACTAACTAGAGACTATGGCTGTGCCAGAAACAACATGGTACCCCATGTTCCTGGCACCCCACACTCACGCACAGTCACCTCTGTGCCCCAGCCCACACTCGCACACCTGCACACAGCTGCACCCACACCCCATGTGCATGCACACACATGCACACACACATGCTCTATCTAGCATGTACACATGGCGCTGGGACTTATCCCAGACCTAGACCATCCCCTAGGGGATCTGGGCCAGGGGTGGACAGAAAGGCTCAGCTGATAGGAAGCTTTTCCTACCCAGGGTAGGGGCCTGTCACTGCTTAGTCCCTGACTCTCTGAATGTTAAGACTCAAAAGAAACCTAGAGACCACCCAGTCCAATCACTGCCAAATGCTCCTCACTATGATTTTACCTATTGGGAAACTGAGGGCCCCAGAGAGAAATAGCTTGCCCAGGGCCACGTGATTGCAGAACACAGACTGGCCCTTGCACTGGGGGAGTCAGGCAGTGTCGCGCCTGCCTCGCCAGCAAGGAAGACGCGGCAACCGGAGTTCTTCTGACAGTGCTTTAATGGGGTTCCCTTTAGACTTACATGATGCGGAAGACCCAGCCCGGCAGCGCGCAGGCTGCTATAAACCCTAGAAGCACAACCCCTAAGCTGGGATAGGCCGCTCAGCTGTCGAGCCACCAAAGCATTAGTCCATAGCAGGACCCTTCGTTTGCATGCTCGCGCCACAGGGCAACCGACAATTGCGCATGCGCTGAACTTGTTTGCTGCTCTAGGCAAAGCCGGAAACAGGCGCCAACTTGTAAATGGCGTTGACACCGCGCCCCACAAGGCAGGACTCCACCCATGCGGGGCCTCCACTTCTAATCAGGGCTTAGCTGAGTGTGACCATGTGCCTGATTCTGCCAGGCGCCCTGGGGTCAAGGGGAGCACCTGGCAAAGACCTGCCCTGGGGGTGGCATGCAGGGTGTGGGGGACCTGTGGTTCCAACATACCATCATCCAGCAACAGTCTTGTCCCAGTAGGGTCTGGGGGCTCCGTTGTGAGCCCCAAAAGAGGAAGCACTGGGCTAGGATCAGGAGGCTGGGTCTCGCCCAGCGCCATCACATTCCATGTGTGTTACATCTGCCCATCCATAAAGCAACATGAACACCTTGTGCTGGGTAAGGGACCCAGCGGGGTGAGCCATCATCCTCTGCACCCTTCCTCACACCCTCCACCCACTCCTCTATTCCACTTCAGGGGTGGAGAGTCCAGCTGTCATAAGGGTTGGGTGCAGCAAGGGGTGACGGATGGGGGAGGGGCAGGCCATGCCCGCAGGGCCAGGCTGGGATCCTCCCCAGGGCTTGTTTGTTGCAGAGTGGCTGGGAAGTTAGGTCTTAGGCCACACAACTTTAATTTGCTTTTCTTACTTAATCTTTCAAAATGGTCATTATGTTATTCTTTTTTTTTTAAAAAAAAAAATATATATATATATATATTTTTTAGCGTATTATGGGGGTACAAGTGTTAAGGTTATATATATTGCCCATGCCCCCCTCCCCCCTTGAGTAAGAGTTTCAAGCATGTCCATCCTCCAAATGTTGCACATCTTACTCATTGTGGTTGTATATACCCATCCCTTCCTCCCCCCTCCCACCCTCCTGACACCCGATAAATGTTACTCTTATATGTCCACTTAGGTGTTGATCTGTTAATACCAATTTGCTGGTGAGTACATGTGGTGCTTGTTTTTCCATTCTTGAGATACTTCACTTAGTAGAATGGGTTCCAGCTCTATCCAGGAATATACATGAGGTGCTATATCACCATTGTTTCTTAAAGCTGAGTAGTATTCCATGGTATACATATACCACATTTTATTAATCCACTCATGTATTGATAGGCACTTGGGTTGTTTCCACCATTATGTTATTCTATCATACAAGTAAGAGCTAGTTCATTGAAGAAAAACTAGAAAACATAGAAAAGCAAAAATAAGATAAAAATCATCTATTAACATTACCACAAGGGATGACTGCCACAACTATTTTGGCATATTTCCTTCTAGACTTTTTTCTATGTAGATACATAAATGTTTATTGGGATGGCATGGACTTTTTTGTATGTTGCTTCCCCACCCCTCAACTTTGGTTCCTTTGTTGCTTTTCCAACTGGTCTGCAACATCCAGGAACTGAGGACCCAGAGTCATTGCCATGTTAGGGACTGACATTATACTTCCCTGATATTATACTTATACTGACATTATACTTTCCTGATTTAAGAATTAAATTTAGTGAGTAATGTACGCACTCTGCCCAGAGCATTTGAGAGTAATGTGTTCCGGACAGGATCCTTGGGACAAACAAGGTTGTTGCCTAGGGGCATAACAAAGGACCTGAGTTTCTGCACTAAGGCAAGAGCTTCCCAGCCCCACGGCAGTGGGGGTCTGGAGGCCGCATGATAAACACATTGTTCCTGTGATTGCTGCTTAGCCCCATAAGATGGCTGGTTAGTCAATGAGGATAAGATCCCTCAAGGGAGGGGAGACCTAAGACAGGCACAGCCACAGGGGGATCAGCCTAAGAGGAACTGGGGATGGAAAATGCCCCATGTGGCTGCCTTGACCAACCTTGCTAATCTCAGTCTGTGATCTATGCCTGGCACCTAGAGCAACCACCTGGAAGCCTTGAGTCAGGGGACATCTGTGTCCTTAAGGCTACATGTTCCAGAATTTATGGCCATTGCTGTAATGCCTGGGTGGTCACGTATAAGGAACTGACTTTAATTTTTTAGAGTATAAAAATAAACTGACCCGGTGTATTCGTCACTCAAGTCATGTAACCATCTTTGTGTGTGTGTCTGTGTTTTTCTTTTGTGTTATGTGTTCATCCCCCATCCTGTAAACGGGACATAGCATTGCCCCATATAGAAAACCAGGCATGGAGAACTGGGTTTGAATTCACTTGCAAGCCACATGATCTTGGGCAAGTCACTTCACAAGAGGAACCATTGGAGAGGGGAGAAACCAAGGTCCCTAGCCAAAGACGACCGAGTGGTGCCAACAGTCTTGGCACCTGTTTTCCTGTAGGTGAAATGCTGTCCTTTCCTTTTAGGTGGCCCCAGGCACAAGTTCAAGTCCAAGGA